ATAATATATAATAATAATAATAATATAATAATAATAATAATATATAATAATAACACCAAAATAAAGGCTTCAAATTTAAGAACGAAGTTTTGCATAGTGTATATAATCCGTATAATATATTTTTAACCATATAACTAAATAAGTAACCATATAAAATATCTAGTAGTCTTGTTATTCTGATTAAATTTTATAAATTTCTAAGTCTATTAGGAACCAAATATTCTTCTTAGATATTCTTAGTGAATATAACTGTACGAAAGAGGTGGGTTATTGCTTAAGTTAGTTGGATGGCTCTGAAGTGGTAATATTATGAAAATGTTTTCTTAAAAAGACTTGATAATTTAAGTAATTTAAAATTTAAGTGATAAAAAATGTAAATGAAAATTGGAATAAAAATGAACACCTTATTAAACGTTGAGAAGTTGAAAGAATTCAGGTAGGAACAAACCGAGCTAATACAAAGTCGGAATATACAGACGAACTCGTACATTATCAAAATAATGACTACATTAGCGGCAGTAGTAAAAAAATTACAGAAAATACTTTTATAATAAAAATGAAGTAAAAATTTTTTTTTGTGCAGAGTTAAGGTTGAAGTAAGGTACACATAGCAGCTCGTCTTACCACTTAGGCACACTTAGGAGCGGGAATTGAGGCCGTTTATATATACATATATCTATATATGTGCATACACACATACAAAGTCGCTTTAATGAAATAAGTAATATTTTTAATGCCTATACTAGTGATATCGAACAGACATTTCAGAAATGGAGAAACAAGCAATATCTTTAATTCCTATACTAGTGATATTGGACAGACATTTTAGAAAAGGAGAGGCTAAGAAGATATGTGGTTTCGGGCTATACCATATATGAATACGGGTAACACCGGAGCAAACTTCTAAAATATTTTCAATGTTGAAGTTAATATTATAAATAAGTTTTTAAGTGTGTAGCAACCATCGTTATATTAATACTACATTAGAAGATTATAAATCAAGAGACGTAATTACTGAGCGTAGCACGGTTGTCATATATGTGATTTGATAAAATTTGTAGATTCTTCAGGTCTAATTTATTGTTCCAATTTTTTTTATGAGATGGGTAAAATTATATAAAAATGTTTAAGCTATTTAATTAGCAATGTAAAAACAACAGAATACCATATATACTATAGATATATGATGAAAAATATTATCATGTATTCTCAATGTATTCTGTGATTTATTTGAAATTATATGTATCTTTCAATATTGTTATATTATTTAGCATTTCTTTCTTACTTCATATAGTTTTTTTTTCATATTTATATTATTTGTTGTAAAATAAATTTATTTAAACTATAGATTAGCCTTCAGAAGACGAACTAAGAAATATATATTTATTTTTTGTCTATATTGTATTTGTTTTTCCACACAATATTATCAATACCTATATAATAGTAGTATTTAATTGAAAATATTATATTATTAAAACACTTTAATTAATTATAAATAATTATTATGAAAAAGCACACAATTAATCAAAAAGATACATACTAATTATAGTATATAAATTATTATGAAGAGAATATTTGAAAATAATTATTTAATATAAGCAAAAAAATTACAAGATGTATTATAGATAGACGAATTCTATATTTATAATTTTGTAATTTTTCCTTAATAATTTTGAATAATTATTATTTAAATAAGTTTATATAAACGTGCAATTGTTGCTCATATTTTAGTAAATTATAAATTTATTATTAGTCTTAAATAATATTGAATGAAAAATGAGTAAATAATTTTTTGATTAACAATAGGTATGCAATCCATGCTGCAGACACTTCTGCCTAACCGTCAATCTAATATGATGCTACAACAAAATAACCTAAAAATCATAATCTGCAATGCCAACTCCATAATTGGGAAAAAATCGGTATATAATATTGTATATAATATTGTGTATACCTGCATCTAAAAGTCAACATGACCGATCATTTTTGTTAAAGTTCTTCACTTTGGCAACTGCTTAAAATATTAAATCAATTAACAATACATTAAAATCGGTCATACTTTTCCTTTTCTTTATAAATCTATTTTGAGCTTTATTAACTGATATTGTCAAACACTTTTGTCAAGTGTTTGTTTCCATTCAAAAAAGCGACCCATAAGCGTCTTCTTAAGCTACTTTTCCCAATCATGTGCCGACTTATATTAGTTCTCTATTAAATCATAATGGCATTATAATTATTTTTTTAATTCCATTGTATATTTGTGTTAATTATATCACTCAATACTTATATTGTTAAGATTAAATTAATTATCTTGAATAAATAATTTATTTTTATGTTTACGATTCATTGACTATTCGGCTAAACTCAGATACTTAATGACTCAGCAAGCTACTGTCGCTTCTACCACAATTTTTATCCATTCCTAATGGTGTATTTATGCTTTTGTGTAAAATTTGATCATGAAATTTTGTTGCCGATTTAATTTGAATATTTAATCAAATAAATTTCGAAGTTTTCGATATTTTTGAAAGAGAAAGTTTTCTGCCTTTACTTTAGTAATTTTTTCTCTACTTGACTGTAGAAGCACTCCACTCTTTGGCTTGATATACTTATACTTTTTTATTATTAAATCCATAATCTCAAATTCGGAGTGGAGTTATTATGTGGTTACGACAATATTCTTATTTTTGTTTTTAAGTTTGTTTATATATTTTTTTTATATATAAGTTTAATAAAATTATTTATTCATAATTTCCCTTACATAATTTCTTTGAATATTTAATATTATTTGCCTTATGAATTTGTATTTTGGGAATTAGCAAAATTATTTAACACATTTATGTTAAATGCCAATAGTTAAGTTTACAAAACAGACTTTGTAAAGTGAAGTGAGTTTTTTATTTAAAATTATTTGACAGAAAAGATAAAAATTATTTTTTGAAATAATTTTTGCATAATAGTTATATATGTTATATCTAGCTAAAGTAAACGTCAATATGGCATTGAAAATGTAATATTTACACTATTGAATACTTGATATCTATGTTTCCAATAGAAGTACCGAGATAAAATTGTCTACTACTTTTAAAATATATATATATAAGATTTCAAAGATAAAAACCAAAGTATGTTTGTGATAAAAATTTTTATGTTAGAAGCATTTGAATTCTGATTGATGGGCATATAATTAGTACCTTCTATCTTCAAAAATTTTGTAGAATTTTTTTTTTCAACTTCATTTACAAAACCAAAGTTAGACTTGTTAGTTAGAGTTGCCTTATAGCCTTATGCTTAAACTTGTAGAAGTTTAAATATATGGGATGCTATATTGTAGTATACAATTCAGCAGCTCAGTAAAATAAAAAAATATGTTCATAGAAAAATATGTGTGAATAATCATAACTAAGAAATTATTGCTTAATGTGCCTTACTGGAAGAGAATTACTATTATAATTAACGATTAAAAGATGGTTTATATTTTGGAGATAAATATGATTTAGATAAACGATTCACGATTGACTTTTACTCTTTGATATATAATCAACACAAATATTAAGCCATCACTATTAAGCTATTATACTTTTTAACACTGATGTAGTAATAAAAATTGCTTAAATTGCAGTTACTCTAAGATTTTCGAAACTAATAAAGTGATTTGCATTCTATTTTAGCTGATATCCATTATATCCATTTTCATCCATTTGCACCTGATTTTCTTTTTTCTTCAGTAACAAAAATGAAAATAGCATTGATAGTATTCTTTTACTTTTTTCATTTAAAATATTCATTAAAATCAATAAGTGTGCATTCTTTTTGATAATATATTTTACACTATAAATACCAATTCAAATCTTAACTTGATTAGTGGTAACGTAATGCTTTGGAGACTGATACGCATTACGACCCGTTATCGGCATTCACAGGGGTCTCAGAAAAATATTTTACATCATAATTAAAGCATTTATTGTACTAAAAAAAAAATTAAAAACGATTATGCTTATTTATATATTTATAATTATAAATTATTTAATGTTTTTTTCTAACTCTTGGAAATGAGAAAGATCTCGCTGAACTGATCTCGTTGACATCCACGACTGTTCTAGCATCGGCACTAACTTTAAAAGTATCGATGTGGTTTAAAACCTAAAGATTAATGTAATCTGTAAGTTCTATATACTCGCTTTGAGGTATCATATAAGTATATTTTTAAGTTTTCGATTTGTGTTTATTAAAATTACACTTTTCTCAATTCTAGAAATGAATGCTACTAAAAATATGAATAGGTTAAAGTTATTCAACACACATTTTTGCTTTTAACCATATGACACAATATTAAGTATATAACTGAATCATGTTTAGTGAGTTTATATCTAAGTAAGAAACTATGAATGTGAAAACATAAATCTGAGTTTGATTTGTTTTACTCATGTTGTCATTTATGTTTTGATCAGTGGATTGAAACAAATTTAAATTATGATTCTATACTTATATAGATAAATGCTCTAAGGTTTTTACGTTACCACACATACTATCGTGTGTCAACAGATAGTGGATTATAATCTTCAGCTTATCTAGATAGACATCCCAAGGCTTTCTTACTTTTTTCAGTTTTTGAGATCCACAAGTTACTTAAGAGTTATACAATTGTCACATTCAACATACTGTAAGTTTATAACATGATTTAAAATAATAAAATCTATATTCATAACAAGAGTTTTTTCAAGCTATTTGTATTACATATATTTTTTCCTAAAAGTATGCTTTTATTCGCATAATTTACATTTTCACTTTTGCAAAAAAAAGAAAGTATTTTGCAACACTTCTCTTTTTCACTTTTTCAAATATAATATATGTGATAAAATTATATTCTAATTTTAATAAAATACAATAATTTAATTTTTTCAATTATTTATTAATTACTTGTTCAAAAAAATAAATTAAATAAATTAGTTTGTCTAGTGATTTATAAATTCTTTTAGTCTTTTACATCGTAAAAATATTCAACTTAAAGCTGCAGCAATAGTTTTCATAAATTCGTAAACTTCTTCACCCGATTCTACAATATAATGTGGTGGCATTAAATAACCGTAACGTCCTTGATCTTTAAGATACACATTATAAACGAATTTTGGGTTGAGGCGATGCTGCACCCAATCTGCAGAGTTACCAGCGTGTGACAGTTTAAGACGATAACCAGAACCAATACGGTATTCTGCTTGATTTAGTTTACGAAAATTCTATAAAAACAGATATAAAAAAATAATTTAATAATTTAATTTGTATATTCTCTTAAATAAATATAACTTACTAAAACTGCTTTGCGTGCAACTTTGTGTAAACTTCTTTGATTATTGGTAACATAGTCTGCATCACCCCAGGGATAAGCAATTGCTTGCCCGTAAGCACCAAATGATATATAAGCACCCAAATAGTCTCGCATTTTTAACATAAATTGACGTATTGCTTTAGTCTCTGGTTCAGAAAATTTTGTAGGCCCGCGATATAAATTTTTACATGGACTTTCTGAAGATCCTGCACCAGCCCATTGATACTCAAAATTTCTATCCAAATTAACACCATAACAACCAGTTTGTCTATCAAAATGTCGATTCTTAGTCCAAAGACGATCTGTAATTCTCGAGTACTGATAACCGTCAGGATTTGTAATTGGCAAGAAATACCAATCAATGTTACGCATAGCATTTCGTTCTGTATAATTGCCCCAAAGCCAAGTTAATTTAGAAATGGCATAAGTAACAGCTGCTGGGCTTAACCAATCTCGGGCTTGCATTCCAGCATCTATGAAAACTGCCCAATTATTTGGATCACCATTTGAAATTCTTTAAATAAAAATTTAATTAAATTATAAATTAATAAAAATAAATGTCTAACGTATATACTCACTTTAAAACTTCTAATGGTCTTTTGTGATTTGTTAGCCCAATCTGCACAATTTCTGCTAAATCTGAATAAGTTTCTAGTATGTGCTGCATAAACTGTTGTATATCACCAATGTCGTGATATCGATTCCAATTCATTATTGTACCTTTAAAATATCAAAAAAAAATTGTATTTAGTTTATTTTAATGTAATTGTAACTTTTTTTCTCTGTATTTTTTGAATTCAACTTACTTTCTCTCTCCAACCAGGGCATGTTTGAGTTGCTATTGTTCACTTCCATATAAGTGTCATCGATGGCCGTTTCTAAATCATCGATCATAATATTGTATGTAAATTCTGTTTTCGATATGAAGTCTTTTGCCGCCGCAGTGTGTTTGTAATCAATTAATATATCAATACCATCTTGATTAATGTTCCATACTTCAGTACCTGAAAAAAAAGTATATTGTTAGTAATTTGTTACTGTAAATGAAATGAGTTCAACTTAATACATTTAAGACATTTACATTTCATTGTAGGTAATTATTGGAATTTTCATTTTCTTTTTTTTTTATATTAAGAATGAATAATTAATATTACTATTACGTTAAACTTTTTTTACATATTCATATGGAAAAATTCTAGACTCAGTAAAGCTGGAAATAGCTTCAGAGTTGTTAATATTTTAATATTATTTTTTTAGTTTATTGTAAATAAAACTTATTGTGTTTATGACCAGGTTTGTCTAGAACTAGGTTTAAGCTTTTGCGTGCCTTATTTTTATATATTCACCGGCATTCAAACAGGTGTTACAGCAAACAGCAAACTTCAAGCAGTGTTTGTAGATTGTCTACTCGTATGTATATATAGCCAAAATAATTTTCAATAAAAAAAATATTTACTGAGGTCCATAAAGTTATGCTTAGGGAGATTTTTAATAAGAAAACAGTCTTGCAGTAAAAAACAGTTTGAAGTAAAGGAGATACAGGCGATCCATATGTTACAGATGTGCCCTAAAGAATGCACTGTTTGCAGACTAAGACATGGTATTTTTTTCAACAGCTAGTTGGCTAGAATAAAATTATCGAATAATTTTTATCTAAATTATTGTTACTTTATTTTATTTTATTTATTTTTATTTTGTATTATTTTTATTTTTTTATTTTTTTATTTTTTTAATTTTTTATTATTATTTTTATTTTTAATATTTTTATTTTTTATTATTTTTATTTATTATTATTTTTGTTTTTTATTCTTTTCGATTTTTGATGCGGTTTGTTGATACTTTGATTTTTGTATATGTTAATATACTATATATAAAAAGGTTTACTTTCATTAGTAAGTGAAGTTAACGGATTTTCTTCGTAATTGATATGAATTCAATTTAGTAGTATGTTTAATATATAAGATAATTGCTTTGCTAAATAATATAGAGCATTATTGTTTTATAGTTCTAGGCGGAATTTACGGATAATGTAATGATTTTATATTTCCATGTCTAGATTACAATAACGTTTTGCTGTTTTATTAAAGAAATATTTATTAAAAAAAAAATGGTTCAATTCACTTTTACTTAAAAGTTTCAGATAAAAATTAAAATATGAAATGTGAACCGAATTCGCAATAATATAAAATTCTTTTTATGAACAATATTATTAAAAGAAATCGACTTTCATTTGCATAAATCACTGATTTTTATAATTTACATAAATTACGGTATTATACAGAATTACAAATTTTTTCTGAATATAATTTTGTTATTTTATATTCTTATAAAAAGAACACAAAATACCGCATTAGGTTAAAAAATTTTTTGGCAAACTAAAAAATTTCACTTCACTTTATCACTAACCAAATTGCCACCAAAATGCTCTTATAACTTCATTTTCCACATCGGTTGAGTGTATTTTCCACAGCTCGAATTTATTGTAACGTTTCACGGAAGGATCGTTACGATAGACCCGGTTTATTTGATAAGTGGATTGAGGTGAAAATATATTAAAACGTCTTAAATCCACCGGACTTATAAATTGTAGATTTTCTATTGTATCATCGTAGAGTTCATTGGTTGAAAACCAAAATGATGGTAAACCTGGAAAGCTACGAAATATGACGTAGGGCGAATGCGTTGATTTGTTAGCATTAGTTATTTGAATGATTGTTAGTAAACCTAAGGAAATTACAACGAAATTATAGTGCCATTTTCTTGGCAACATTTTTTTTTATTTTTTATTAAATGTGTTAAATTTCTTAATACTACTTTCTACTCCGAATGAAAGAGAACCAACGGTACGGCAACTTACAATCAAACTAAACTGAAATGTGTTCTTGTTGAAACTCAGAGGTCTTAGTTATTGTTACTTTTAAATTCTTTTTGGTCATTCTTTTAGTTTAAAATAATATTAATTTATGTTAATATATTGTATAGTATTTTTAACATTTTTTGCAAGATGCTTTGAAGCAGATTATGTTAAGATATGCTGGGTTCAAAGAAATGATATGTGGTTTTTGTGTATTATAATTATAAATTTTTATGTGTTATGCTATTCCTTCCGCTACTGAACAGATCGAATTTCAAATATAAATTTTATTTAAAATAAAATTAATTTTGTAGTGAAAAAAACATTAATTGTGAAAATATTTTGAATTTATGTGTTTGAGTAAATTTACGAGGTATTGCTTATTGCTGCTCATGTTTTGTAGCGATTGAGTTCATAAATACAGTGAAAGCTCTTTTAAGAGCACACGTGGGACCAACAAATTTGCCCGGTTAAAAGAGAGATGCCTGTTTTAAAAAAGCGTTCATTTAATACAGCTTTTATTGTAATTTTTATAAATGTTTGTTACTATATTGAAGATAATCGATTTAATTAGGGGAAAATAGGTAAATACTGTTTTTGAAAATGTTCATTTAATATAGTTACTATACAATGTTATTACACTACAAAGAAAGTACTTTCTGTCAACAAGCAAATCTCCCATGTCACTGTTGGAAATTATAAGTCCGAAGTTGTGAAAGACTGTTTATTTGGGAACCAACGTAAACGCCAAAAATGCCGTCAGTCTAGAGATTCAACAAAGAATCACTCTTGCAAACCAACATATGTCACTTCGGGCTAGATAAACAATTGAGAAATAAAGCTCTCTCTCTCGACAAAAATCACGCTCTACAGGTTTTTATCATGCCTATCCTGATGTATGGTGCAAAAGCTTGGACAATTAGCAGCAATAATGAGAAAGCGTTAGGCGCATTTGGAAGAAAAATTCTTCGAGAGATCTATGGTCCTTTACGCTTTGGTAACGAGTATCGAATTAGTTGGACTACACTAGAGTTAACCAATTTTTTAATTGACAAATACATTTAATCAACACTTTTTAAAAAGTTCATTAAAGTTTATGTAATTGTTTTCTCGTAATCTGCTTTTTAATATAAACACGTTATGTGTCTTATCTTTTTAACTCTACGTAAAATGTTTGCCAACATTTTGGAAAACTTTTCAGATATATGTGCTCACCAGTATTTTTGGTATTATCACATTGTTATTAACGTTCGGCATAAATTCTTTTAAAAAGCTTACGGCTACTGTTAGTTAGCTATAGCTACATAAGTTCAACTTTAATTTAGTTATTAAACCATTAATAAAAAAATAAATAAAACAACCTTTCAAATAATAATAATGAACATAAATATAATGACAGTTTTATTTTTAATTAATTAAATGTTTTGGCTGACCATATAACAGTTTGCCAAATGACCATCATTAATCGCTTTTAGACATATTTTTTTTTTTAAAAATATGATATATATAAAGTTTTTAGGTTTTAACTAAGAAGGATAGAACTCGAACCCACCCGTATTTGCACCACAGAGAAACTTCTTAGACACGTTACTGAAGGCTTTTCTGTACTTTTGTAGTTCCAGCTTAGTTTTGGCGTTTTTTTGAGGTTTCACTAACAAATTCGCTTGCTATTCGTATATTGGTATAAATGCATAAACCACAGCTATACATAATTGTATTAACTATTATGATTTTCTTGCCAAACATCAGTTTTATATGATTACTATTCTAAATATTATTTATTATTTCATTTTAAATATAAAACAAAATATTTTTACAAATTTATTTTGATATTTAGTTTATTTTTAAACACAAATTTATTTTTTTTACATTTCTTGCCCACTGTTTTACTTTGATTTGTTAACGTTTCTGACTATTTAAGCCCTTAAGACAATTCGTTAAAGCTTGTGAAAGGTCAATGTTTTCGATTTAAATAATATTTATAAAATGTTGTACATTAACATACATAAATTTAAATATTTATTACTTTTATAAATGTTTAAGACAGCTGACTTTGGCATAATCTATAATTATTTTATTTTTAATATTTATGTTAGGAAACACAATCAACTGTAAATTTCTAAGCTACTTCTTTTGATTTCTTAGAAACAATACTTAATTAATTATACAAAATTTGATAATTTAATCAAAAATACAAACTAACACATAAAGTATATTAATTAAGATTCCACTATGGATTATAGATTTAAATTATTAACTTACCATATTTTTCGATAAATTTTTGTAAACGTCCAAGATCCGTGCCATTGCTACGTTTTGTTGTTGGATGAAAGAGTACCTTCCATAATTGTGCTCCATGATAATTTATGTAATTTTCATCAAAGTCACTGCGATAATCAGATTTCCGACCTATATGAGTGTTGGGGCGTAGAACGCGTAGTAGACTACGAAAGCTACCAAAAAATGGTAGCGTAAACCGTGCTTGCCCGTATTTTCGTGTTAATGGAATTAAATTAATATTTTCATTCTGACATACAGTGACAGTTGTTAGTTGAAAAAATATACAAAGCAAAACTGTGCAATAATATTTAATGAAACGCATTGCTACTTCTAAATAAATACTAAATGAATGAATAATAAATAATTTTTGCCAACCGATTACCGGCAAATGCGACGATGTTGACGAAAGTAGTGCTGAATTATGAATGTCTTCAGTATTTCATCAATAAATATTTTGTTTGTCATTTTTGTGAAGCATAAAAATCGATGGGAAAAAAATTACCAAACATATTCAAATCAATGAAAATAAAATATTAAAAATATTTTTTTTTATATTTTTTATTTCATTAATAAGTTTTTTTTACAAAATTAACTTCAAGAGGTTAAAGCGGTTCAAAGTTATGTGCAAAAGTTTCACCTCTTCGAATAAAGAAGTTTTGTATTGTATTTGGCAGATAAACTCTAGACAAATTATAAATAAATTTATTTTTGTATAAATAATGAGATAATTTTTCACATACACTATCATTACTTTTCAAAATTTTTATCATTTACAAATTTATTTATTTAAATGATATGTAAAATTAATGTACAATAAATTTGCAATTATTTTTTTTTATTTATAAAATTCATAAAATTTATGCGACTCAATGCTAATTATAATATAAAGATTTGATTTTGGTCCATTTTGCATTATATATAATCATATGAGCTCATAAATTTCAAGAAATCGCAATTAATGTGGTTAAGTTAGGTTTTGTGAGAAAGTTGGCCAAAATCATCTCGTATCTTCATCTTTTATCTTTTATTAGTATTAATATAAATTTTATAATTTATTATGAGATATTGTTTTTTTTTCAATTTTGCCAAATTGTGGTACAACATTACAATTATGTTAATTTAGATTTTTTGTTTTTAAATTTCTTTTATTATGAAACAATAACTAACGGCTATTTATTTTCTTTTAACTAGGTTACATAATATTTTTAACATTTTATTAATAATTATTAATTTTTAAATGATTTCGATCATTTATTTAATCTTAATTTAACATGCTTAATATAGTTTTTCATATAATGACATATAGATATTTACTTATTTTAAACTAATAATTTATTTAATTTCTTGTATGTTTAATGTTTAATTTTTATTCTTAAATTTTTTTTTTTGCTATTGAACATTTTTTCTGTACGAAAATAGATATCTTGTCATTTACTCAACTATTGTACTGTATTTCATATAATTACTCTCGCGTAGATGAGGACCGCAGCGAGCAACCACATAAGCATCCATAGTGGCACAAAGTATAGTGGCACAGTTAATATGAATATACTTAATATAGATTTCATCTATATGGAATAAAATTTTTAAATGTTCTTGTTCTTCATTTGATTATTTATACTTCTTTCATACAGTTATAATTAGTATTTACAGATTTCATTTGGGTAGAATATGGCTATACTTATGCGTATGTATAACTCAGCATTCTTCTTTGCCATAGTCATTTTCACTAGGTGTCCATTTAGTGTTTTCTGCTAAATTTGAGAATATCTACCGCACCTCTGTTGGATCCCTATGATCAAAATTCTGTCTTGATGTATTGAACTGGTAATAAAATGGATAACTTACGTTTCTGTCGCTGTGAACATTTGCGCCATATATGTGGTGTCTGTACTAAATGAATTGATACTTATCTGATTTCTTCGTGACTCCATAACAGGTGGCAACGACAGAATAAAATCAATTATGTTCTGTATATCTGGCAAATTTTAAACGACAGCTTAGCTGTAAAATTTCGCGTTTATCAGATGTTTAGTTTGAAATAGTACACCTTTGTGATTTTTTATAAAATGGAAAAAAATGAATATCGTTTAGTAATAAAATTTCTCCATTTGAATGGATGATATTAAAAGGTTGTCGTTAACAGAATCCATTTCCAATTTAATTGCATCATTCTTCATTCCTTTTAAATGGAGGAATTTTATTACTGAACGATATTCAATTTTTTCCAATTTTGGTTTGTCTAGTGGTAAAAACTGCGTCTATTTAGATCTTTTATATAAAAATGACAATACTCGTGGCAGTGCAGAGAGGCCAGTCGCTAGTAAGCACCCATGACAAAAAATTGGGTAACCGATTTAAACAGAAATGCACAAACTGCAAGGAAGAAGAGAGAAAAGAAAGATACACATTCCACTAAGATGTCTACGAACTAATGAGACTGACGAGCATCCTAAACGTAGATTTTCCAAAAATAACTTCCTTTATCAACCACGCAGGTTGCATTTCAAACTAAGATTATCATGACCGGCTTTGTGGTGATAATATGATATTACACGATTTTAGAAGAGAAAACTGTGGTAGCACTAAAGCTGACCTGATCATAACTGTTTTATCGGAATCCTTCTGTGGTGTCAGCTTTCTTCTTTTAAAGAAACACTGCTATTTGTTTTGTAAAAATTGTAAGAGTGGTATTGACTAGTGTTATACTTCTTTAGTCATATTCCGGTTTTCTGTCTTTTTCTTAATATAAGTATTGTTATATTATAGTTTAATTTCTTTGGAACAGTTTTTTCTTGAATGACCAAGTGTAAATTTCAACTACGATGTTGAAATATTACAGAAACATATTTTTTTGTATTTCTAAATTTCATTAATTCTAAATTGTTATGTAGATCTGATTGTTTATTGATAACACAAAGGATCTAAATAGATCATAGCGTTTTGTTTTAGTAAAAGTATATATCCCTTATCATATTAATTTTAATAATTGTTAAATTATTATTTTATTAAATTAATAACAATTATTAAAGTTAACAATAAAAATAAAGAGAGGCAAGAAGAATATGTTACAGATTCTACGTAGACAGCTTGTTTTGGGTTTGATGTGTAATAAACACAACAATGTCGCTTATTATTAGATTTGTTCCATTCTAGTGGCTTAGAAACTAATCTATATAGTAGTCATCTCACGTGCATTCCTGATTCATGAGTTATCTGCAGTTCTTTAATTTATATGTATTCTTCAAATTGGTGCTTTTATTTTTTGCTAATAATAAAAATTTTTGATGGTTATTCGGAGTTAACTAAGAAGGAGATTCCATAAATTTTAAATCCACTCTTGGTTATGGTTCGGCATCTGTATAAAAAGTGTGAAGTTAATAGTTTTTTTTCCGCTTTTTTATCTGTTTTGTTTTAAATTAGAAATTAAAACTAGAATTAGAATAGAAATTTACCTAATAAAAATTATTCTGCTTTAGGGTACTATGTAACTTTGTGTCCCTACTGTACAGTTTCTCATTACTGTACTTAATGATTCGTTTTCTGTTCTTCTAAAAAGATTAGTAGGTTTCTATTTGGAGGAAAAAATACTTTGTTGAACGTTAAGGATATCCAATATATATAATATATATAACTTTGTATATTCGCATTGTTTTCATTAAGTATATTGCTTCAATATCAATTTAATTTTAATGCAATGTTCTATTTGCACTCAACTTAGACTATCATTGCACTTTTTACCGACAGTGATTTGAGTGCAATTTACCTAAAACCACTTCGCCCTGATTCTACAACATTTTGCTTCATATAATAGAATAGTGGAAACAATAGGACGGAGCCTTAGTTGGTATCTGTATTGGATTTTCATAAATTTGCCAAATTTATGCATTTGACTTTTGCCTGTAGCTTTTTAATAAATTTTCTAACAGAAAGGAAGGATACCAAACAATGTGCTTTGTTTCCTTTCCAAATCAGCGGTCTCCTTACATGTAGCCAAAGAGGACGCTAAGTAAAAGTTCAAGGTTGCTCTGAAGGAATTTCAAGAGTTTGCCATGATGTCAAGTCAATTGTGTTGAGTCTTGTTGATTTTATATGAAGATTTACAAAGAAACTAAATTTTTCCTAAATCACTACGTATGTGGACATGCAAAGAAGTATAAAAGTATGTGAAAGTAAAGACTAAAATAGTTTTTAAGATTTTTCAAACAAATTTCTTTTATTTTGATGAGAATTTTTTAAATAAACTTAGTCTATTTAAATTTTTCACATTATGCTTAAGTAATTGAACTAATACGATAAAATAAATAAATAATTTAAATATATTAATTTAAATACATAAGTTAACTAAATAAACATTCAAATAAATAAATAAATAAATAATATTTTAATAAATAAACTATTAAAAGTTTCTTTTTTTGTTATAACTCAAAAAAGGCACACTTTGTGTGCTCAACACACAAAACAGACAAAACCATTTAAATAATTAAATTAAATAATAAATAAATAAATTAAATTAATTAAAATTTTTTATGTAACTAATTTAACTACGTCTACGTATTTTACGTCGTCGACTGTCCTTTGTTTTTGTCACAGCGCGTGCCACAGTTTCGACGAAGGTGAAACCATCTTTACCGTTTTGTTCAATATAACTTGCGGGCAAGACGAAACCATAACGTCCAGTGTCACCCATTTCAATGGTGTATGCGTACTTAATGCCTGCGAAACCTTTAGCCCAATCATCCGAGCCACCAGCAGCTGGGTATAATGTTGTTGCAGAAGAACCGACTGTGTATTTGAAACCAGTGCTCTTTGTGATTGTCTGTCATGGAAGAATATATAAATATTATTAGTATATTTTTTAAGTAAAATTTTTTATTTATAGAGTTTTTGAATAGTAGTGTATTTCAACAACAAAATTTTATTTGAATTCATTAAATATTTTGGCTGACCATACAGCTGGCATGAGTACATATTACCAAATACTTATCATCATGGTCTTTGAAATAATAATAATTGGTTTTCATACTTAAAGCAATTGTATAGTAAATCACCCAACGGGAAGGAATAAGAATACTCCGAAGGTAAGACATGGTTGTCGTAATAGGCGACTAAAAAACAGTAGGCACCATCCGATACTGTTTGGAGTATAAATAGTAAAAAGTGAGTTGCACTTTCGGCACGCGATTAGAGATGTATATCTGCTGCCACAGAAATCAGAGCCTAAAGATTCGGTGTCCTAACTAATAGATATTCCAATTTAATAGTTAGATTTTAATCACAGTCATCACGTTGCATTTTCTGACCGTGTGCTTTGCCCCAAAAAAGAACAGACGTGTTAGATAGGTCTTGCTGTCTTTTAAAGAGAAGACTGTATCCAAACGTAAACCTTTAATTGGTATCGATGGAAACTATTAAGATTCCAATGGGATATGTGTGTTAAAATCATTGCATCTTAAGCCTTAACGGTAGCTTAACACTTTAAAAAGTTATGGATTCTTTACTATCAGCCAAAAAATAAATTTAATAATTTAATTTTATTAATTAAAATAAAATTTTGTGATTATTCACTACTATTCAAAGAAATTTCTATTAGTTAAATAGTTTTCTCTCGTTATAATTGCCTTTAGTAATTGAATTTTATAAAAATGTATAATTTTTAAACATTTATGTTAGAAAAAATTTGACTTGATTTGTTGAAATAAGTTTATATATAAGTCTGTATAAATATAAACAAAAACTTACAGTGCCAGCTTGTCTAGCTACACGATCCAAATCTGATTTGTCGTTCGTTACACGGTAATCATAGCCCCAAGGATACAATATGTATTGTCCATAACTGTGGAAGGATAAGTAAGCTTGGAATGTATTACGTGGGAAGTTGCTTATATATTTAGAAATATAGAATGTTTCTGGTTCGGAGAAAGCTTTGCTGCCACGGTATGTTTGTGAGCATGGATTAGCTGAGGTACCCTTACCACCCCATTTATAGCCAAAGTTACGATTTAAATCAACGCCAGGACAGTTGCGACCATGTGAACGCATATTCTTACGCCACAAACGATCTGTGGTGTGAGAATATTCATAACCATCAGGATTAGCAACAGCATGTATGTGCCTGAAAAAGCAAAACATCAATATAATTTATTGAAAGTGATTTTCCGGAATAATGTTTTTATTACAATATTTTCATGCACATTTTGGTGCTGTAATGAAATTGCAAAACTTACCAATTGACATTCTTCATATGTGCTGGCATATCATCCCAACCTTCAACAATTTGATTTGCGATGTATGTAACTGCGGCAGGACTTATCCATTCACGTGCATGCATGCCACCATCAATCCAAACACCAGGATTGCCTGCATTGCCATTCGATATTCTGTTGCAAGGTTGCAAGTTATTTGAAAAAGGAAATTAATAAAATATCATATTACTTTCATATTTCCGACTTACTTCAATATTTTCAATGGACGTTTTTGAATTGAATAACCAATAGTTTCGACAGTGCAAATATCAGGATAAGTCTTAGCCAAATAGTCGAAGAAACCGTGTATATCATCTAAGCGGTGATAGGCTTGCCAAGTCAAACGATGTCCTAGAAGAAATAAAAAGCCATGAACTTATTATCAAAGTAAGAAAACTAATCAAGCATGAAAGGTTTCTTGAAACCTTGCACGAATCCTTAAATTTAACACCCTCGCCTTTATTCCTATCGTAATTATGGTGTAGCGCCTAAAAGCTTTGGTTTTTCTTCGTCCTTAGTGGGGTTTTAATTTGAAATTTGTTGCTTTGTTAGGGAAAAAAGTTTTTGTTTTTCGATAAGTGTGAAGGGAAATTGCCGCGTTTACACGCAGTCTTGGATACGTGCATTATTTTGCGCATATGCACTATTAAAAAAATTGTTGATTTTATATTTGTAAAAGTATTTCACAAAACATTTCTTGTAAATAAACTCAACATTTTACCAGTCATTCTATACAATTTGTGAAGTAAACAAGTTAAGTTGTGCTAAAGTGCTAAAATCACCATCAAAACACTTCAATATAAATATTTATTAACGTGGTTATAAACATTTAAAAAAATGATTACTCTAGCAAAATATTTCCATCAGTATTATTGTTGCAAATACTTTTTGTGTAAACATGTTAAAAGGGATTCCTATTTATTGCTAATGTCTATCAACAAAAATTATTTTATTGATTAAACAATATGTTTACCTTTTGATTGATGTGAGTAAAATTGTTTGCTTGAACTTTTAATTGTCGCACAATTAATTTGATTTGAATTTACGCAATTTTGCCGATATCCTTACGATTTATACAATGTGAACTATAAAAGACTGAAACACCTGCCTTCAATAGGACAAACTCCATGTATAAAAAGTTCTATACGTTGTAAGTGTTAATACAAACTTTTAACTATTTTTGTATTTAAAAATATAAAATTTAAAATATTTTTAATATCTATAAAAAATTAATATTGTTTTTTAAACATAAGAAATTATGTATATTATTATTATCAATGATTATAAGAATTAATGCAAAGTAATTAATTAATAAATTTTCCATTTAATAACCATAATAATAATAATAATAATAAATAATTTAATAACCATCATAAAGATATTTCAGTTAACATATTTAAAAAACAATAATTAAGTTTTTGTTACTAATAATAATATAATCTATGATATACAAAATATTTGGAACCACTGTAGGGTCAGCTCAAGATTTTACCTGAAAAATTTGTTCAGTACTACTCTCCTTTCTATTTGAATATAAATTTCTTGTCATATTACAGCAAATGTTAAATTGAAATAATAATCACTTTATTTAAAAGGAAATGGTAATTTTTATTTAAAAGCAAATGACCCGTTCTATTATTATGATCCAGGTATATAAAGTTTTTGGAACAACTGTAGAGTCAGCTGAAAAAATTAGCCGATTAAACACTTTTTTTTTACAATTTCATTACTACAACTTCCCTATTCGAAGAAAAATTCCTAGTCATATGGTATTAAACGTTTAATCAATATAATAAACATTTTATTTGATAGTAATGGAAACTTTTAGCATTTTATAGTATTATGATCTATGGTATATAAAATCTTCGGAACAACTGTATGGTCAGTTCAAGATTTTCCGTAATTAAACATTTTGTTAAATTTAAAAATTTTTTCTTTCTATGCGAAGATAGGTTTCTAGTCATAGGATATCAAATCTTTAATTAAAATTTTATTTTAATTTATTTGATTTAAAAATAATGGTAAAAGAATAAAATCTCTTTAGATGTTTCACATTACTGTTAAGAATACTATTTATAAATAGTATTGTGTTCTTCTACCTAGGTGAAGGTATACTAAAATATAAGTATAAACTATGACTATAAGTAATTTCGGTTCTTGTTAAAAATAAACACATTTAAAATAATAACTCAGCTATCTATAAATGTTAAAGAAAAATCAGTTCCGATTCCGAATAGACCACTACAATAAAATTTATAATGTTTGTTTTGAAAATATTTTCGAATATGTATAAAAATTTATTTATTAAGCTGAAACTACTACTAGTTTATATATATCTCAATGGAATTAATGAATCATGCCATTCAGACAGTTTAACAATAAACTGATCACTACTTTATAAACCGTATTACTTTATAAAGGATTGATTCATCATCTTAGACCTCAATGGAATTAATGGATTATGCCATTCAGACAGGTCGACATAAACTAAACAATACTATATTACTTTATAAATTGGTCAGTTGGCAAACGATTGATTCATCATCGTCTGTAAGGTACAGAGACACACTTAAATACCGATTGTACCAAATGTTTTATGGTCATTGACCTATTTTTAAAAAAATAAGTGAAATATCATAAAGAGAATCTGCGTATATATTTTAAAGACTGGATGCATACAATGTCTTGCATAGTATCCACATTTAAACAAAAATGTGTGTTTTTAGTGTAATTGCTATTTTTTATTTTAATATATTTTCAGTTTCTTTCTCCTAAAGATTAAAAAATATTTTTTCAATAAAAAAATTAAGTTAAAACGCTTATAATGCTCTTTTAATGAAAAAATGTAAGAAAATGCTCATATTTGTTCATTATTTTTATTATTACGACTATTAAAATTAAATTTATGTTAATTTGTTTTATTTATTTACTATTATTACTATCATTAATATTATTAAAATATTAACATTGCAAATAAAGTAAATTTATTTGAATTAAAATTAATATTACTAAGTAAATGAGCAAAACGTTTTAAGTAAAAATATTTGCTCGTGGAGTCAAGTTTATTTTTAGTTTTAATTTTAAAATTCTACATATATTCATATAAACATACACAGGTGGTAACCTTTTGATAATACTATTTTTCTGTTTAATCATAATACCTAAAGTTCTTAGAGTACTTGATTACTATTCTGATATCAAGTCTATCAATTAAATAGTACACATAATTAGAAAATAAATATATACATTCCCAGGAATATGCTCCTGGGAATGTATATTCTTACGGAAATGGCAATAAAACTCTGTAAAGTAGATTTTATACTACTTTTTATTGAAGCAATAGGGCTTAAAGACCTACTCTAAACCTAGAAGGTGGCACAATAGATCCGACGGTCGCAGAGCCATATCCCCTAACAATAATAATACTATCGCTATTATACAAAAGTCATATAAAGTCCTTATTGTAAGAAAAATTTTATTTTTGAAGTATCTGAAATTGCTTTCAGGTTTATTTGCGAAGGTTAAATTAAAAGTTATAAATTCATTCTATAAAAAAATCAAATAAAACTTTACCGCAAAATTACATTTGTAATTCTAATTGGTTACATTAGCATTAAGTAAGGCGAAAATCCTTAAAGGAAAGGGTGGGCGTTAAAATTACTTAGCGAAAGGTGTCAAAAAATACAACCCCAAAAAACCCAAAAAGTTATTTTTGGCGTTGATAAGAAAACAAATATAAGTTAAACTTTTATTGTAATTTCTTTTTTGTTTTTTTAAACAATTTTTGGTAATTGGCCAAACAAATCAAACATTTCAATGAAACATGCAACTAATGTCAAGGATAAAAAACACAAGTGTAAATTACAACACTGAAAGCAAATGTGTTTTTAAGAGTTTACCAAATGACTTTTAGATTTATCGCAATAAAATAATAAAAATTAATAAAAAGTCTTCTACTCTATTTCTTTTTTATTTTTTACATATTTTTTCCATACTTCTTCCATATATCTTTTTTATATGAATAAGTTTTATTTAGATATAAATATTGGTTTTCAATGATATGACTATCTCACCCCTCATAAAAGTTATGTGGAAATTTAAAAGAATCTTATAGCCCGAGTATCATTTAGAAGGGGTTACACTGTTGTGAAATTGGCTTTACCAGTCAACATATGTGTTTCGTTCGTATCTATGGTGTTAGGTTAAAATTATATTTTATTTACTCCTTTTGAATATCGTCTATCGTACATTGGAAGAACTATGTATATTAGTCCATTCATGCATGCACATATTCGTTGAATTTTATTGTGCATGTTACACTCTGTTTTTCTTTTAAGTAAACAAAAATGCAATAGAAGAAACTACATTAATTTAAATGCCACTTTTATGGCATTTATCACCTCATTGGTGACACAAAATGTCTATAGAAATTAAGGAATTTCAATAAACCTTGCACGTTTACTCGCATTTTTACTTTTTACATTTAGTGTGTTTTTTGTTTTTGTAGCAAAACTTTTACTATTAACTGTTGAACTGATTTTAAGCCATTCAGTTAGGCGCCTCATACATTCAAACACCTTCAGATACAGTAGATAGAGTAGATACTTCGACTGGTAACGTGGAAAAGCTTTTACCCCATTTTAAGTGTACAACATTTACTTACCAATTTGCTTGGTTGGCTCGGTTTGATGGCTTATAAAAGCATTTACTTAGGTGTCTCACAATTAAATTGCTTTTAGTGTAATATTTTCAGTTTTTTTTTGTTTTTTTTTTTTTTGAGATTTACTTACCCTTTCTATTTTGTAGTTGTGCGATTTCATCTGCTGGTGGATTTTCGACTTCAATGACTTTTTGCAGATTATCAATGAGTACAATACGCGAAAGATTCGCTGCCCGAATATGTTTCTCAGCTTCAGCCAAAACTTGTGGCTTCAACAAGTAGTCAACCTCTTGCTTGACCTCCTTCCATAGTTGTCCATCTTTTATTGTTGATTTGTTGAAATCGTTCAATCGGTTAGTTGATTGTAGATTGTTTACAAGTGTACAAGTTTATTTGAAAAAAAAAAAATATGTAAAAATAAAAATATAAGTAAAAGTTAAAAATATAATTTACAAAGTGCAAAAATGTTATAATTTTAAAATTTATTGGTTTGATTTGTCGTATTGGGAAGATGGAGAAAAAAGTTCGGACGGATAAATCAATTACGTTTTCACCTCTAAAAAGTTTTGTTTTTGAAAACTTAGTTTGACGCCGGATAATTTTCTAAATGAATAACGTTATAATTTTTTATGTTAATTTCTAGATATTACATAATATTTTTACAATATTAAGTTAAGTAAATTAAATTAATTTGAAAGATAAAGTTTTGTTAAGTAATTTTTCGTGCCAAAACAACAATTAGAGAGATTAAAATTTACTTGATATAATAATAAATTTTTGACATTCATTATGTTTATACAGAGCTACAGAAAAAATTTGTTATTCTCTTATTTTTATTTTACTGCACTAAACAGTTAGTTGAAAATTTTTTATTTTTTAATTTTTTTAATGTTTTAGTGCTTTAGCTGGTACTTTGACTCTTAAAAAATTTGTTTTTTTTCTTTTTTTTTATTTCGTTTTTAGTGCACTTAGTTGGAAATTCTTTTAGTTTTTAATTTCTATTCTTTTTCAATTTCAATTTTTCAATTTTCAATTTTTTGGTGCTATAGCTGGTACATTGACTCTTGATTATTTTAATGTATGCATTTAAGCTAAGTATTAACTAAATGTATTAACTAAATGTGTGAGGAGAGTGAAGTACCTTACTTCAAAATTTACAGGAACAGAATTTAATAGGGCAAATCATATGGAACATAGTCTGACAGTTTAATTTCTTTACTAATGTAGAAGTTAGCTAAGAGTTTTTTGATTTTTAAGTTTCTATTCTTTGCGATATTTTCAATTTCTTGGTGTAATAACTGGTATATTGACTCTTGCTTATTTTAATGTATGCATTTAAGCTAAGTTGAGTATTAACTGCATGCGAAAGCAAAGTCAAGTAGTTTACTTTAAAATTTATATGAATAAAATTAAATGGGGCAAATCATATGTAATATAGTGTTAAATTATAATTTCAATTACTATTTTAAATAGTCTCTTAATATATTATTATTAATTTTATGTGGTAGACAACTCATTCATTTCAAATTACATTTTTAATTTTATATAATTGTTTATTTATTTATTCATTTTTTAATTCATTTCTTTATCTTTTTATTTAATAATTCATTATTGAATCAAATGTAAAATATTTCTTATAGACACTCAAATCTCTAACAGTTTTATATCTGAAGGAGGTTTGTTACCTCTACTGTGCTTGCGTAAATCAAGATAGATTTACTCAACTAGAGTCTACAGAAAGTCTACCACTAATATCGACTTCCGGGAAACACTTTTTCTTCGCTGTCCATATATACGTAATCTAACAGCACGCTATTTATCGATGTATTGAAGGCCCCATATAATTCCAAATTCTGGTATTTACAAATACACCTACTCTACACTTAAGATTTAAATTGAAAATACTTAAAAATATATTTGAATTCTCTCATGAGATTAGAAGCAACTATCAGTTGGTATGGTTTCTAAATTTTATTTATTTTTAAATAATTATTTTTGTTTATAATATTTTGCCTTTATATTATAAAATATCATGAAAGGATAATCATAAATCATAATTTATGGTATATACTCATTCTTTCATCTCACTTATTTTCAAAGTACTATGTTACTTAAAAAATTTATTTTGATATTTGATTTTGATAGATGATTAATTTTGATATTTTATTAATAAACCCAAGTCTTAGCACCGATAATAATACATTAAGCTTAATCAGTTAGCAAAAGCAAACATGGAAACTGTTAAGAATGCTAAAAATTTGTGGAATATATTTCTAGATACCGCGTTCTAAATTTCATCAAGATTCTGTTTTTTTTGAGCAGAATGGCTTTAATTTTTATTTTTTTAATGCTTTTTTTGCCAATATTGATCCACAATATTGGTCAATATTCTTCCTTTAAATCCCTTACACGACACACTTATTTTTTCTAAAGTTTAATATAAATCTCAGTTAAATTGAAAGGCATCAACAGTAATGAGTTTAAGGTTCTGAGTGTGGTTTTAATGAATTTTTTATTTATTATGAAAAATCTCATTAAATTCAGTGAAAAGCGTATCTCAATGTTTTTATTTTACGAATTCAAGACACATTCATTCGGTCGTTGTCCGTCCAATAACATTTTTATTATTTTTGTGTTAATGATTTCGACCCATCAACGATTTTGACTCACTAACCTTGACCGTTTCGAAAATTCTTCATCATCATCTGCCATTTTTTCTGCAGTTTTAATTTAACGTTGATTGTTTCTGTGCTGTGCTATCGTTAGGTTTAATATCGAATTTGTTTACTCATTTGAATTATTGTATCTGAATCTGTTTCGGATGCTAGCAGAATTTCAATTTTTCGGATACGCTTGTATTGGAACATTGTCCTAATTAGAAATTCGTCGCCTGCTGTAAGTCTTTTAAATATTTTTATAGAAAGCTGTTCAGCTTTTGTTTTTACATAAAAATCGCTTTTCTTTGGAATTTTATTTTATTTTATTTTATTTTTTATTTTTTTATTTTTTTATGTATCTTGTCGTTGGCTCGTGTACGTTTTGCTAAAGACGCTTTTATTGTTTACATTAAATACGAAAAAAAGTAACTTATACAAAAAAAAAAAAACATATAATAATAACAATAATACGACAAAAATAAAAACGAATTCCAGTCGAGAAAGCATTTTGCTCACATACCAAATGGCACGGGTCGGTCGTTTGGTCGGTCGCTTGACTAGCATATGCAAAAAGGAAACTTAACCGCTTGAGATAAATACCAAGCAACATGGTTTGGCTGCATCGGATGCAAAACTTTTCCTTTTGTTTTAATTATAGCATGACTATTGTACAAGTGACTATTTACTCTATATGCAGCACAGTGGTTATTCCTTGAATATGAATCATTAAAGTTGCTTTTATGCATACATATTTTTATACCTACTCTTAAATGGCATTGAAAATAATTGCTTTGCTTACCGTCAAGTAAGAAGAAGGACTTAGATTTCTCTATTTCAGTAATGAATATTATTTAAATCTTAATTAAACTTACCGTATTTCGTTTGTAACTCATCTGCCATTTTCTTGTCGAAATCATTTTGCACAACAATTCTCCAGACTTGAGCACCATCATAACGTCTTAATTTCGAATTAAATATCTCATCGCTGTTTTGCAATTCTTGCAACTGCTGCTGTTTATTATTATTTTGTAGCATAAATGAGGCGTTCACATAGTTGAGCACACTATCCATGACGTTTAGTGGCATTTGAGTGCTACTTTCAATTGTTGCATCTGCTGCAGCTGGTTGTGGTTGTGGTTGCGTTTGTTGGGTAGCTGCAGTTTCCATTTCATTTTCCAATTTAGTTGTGGTTAATTCAGCGACAACATTTTGTAATGGTTGCGTGGGCTCTTCTTGAGATACTTGAGCTTGCATTTGTTGTTGTTGCACTAGTTCATTTTCTTGTTGAGGTACTTGTACAATGGTTGTTAATATGGAAGTGGGTTCATTCATATCACTTGGCTGGGTTTCCTGCATAGACACTGCATTTTCCGGATTTTGCATTGTATCTGTGTTATCAGTAATTTCAACATTTTCAACATTATTGTTTGCAGCAATTGAAATATCACTCATTTCTGCATCTGCATTTTCTTCTTGAATTTGTGTAATATCAGCTTTGTTATTTTCTTCTGCAATTTTTTCAATTTCCTTTTCAGTTTCTTTCTCAGTTAATACTTCCCCGACTATTTGCTCTAAAATTTCTTCACTCTTATTATTTTCTTCTTGTTGAGCGGAAGTATTAGTGTCCAATTGCATATCAGCTACTTGAGCTGGTTGTTGAATATCTGAAGCGGAAGTATCTTGTTGTTCAATAAGTGTCTCTAAGTTCTCTACTGCTAAAGGCGCACTTTCAATTTTGATTTTTTCTACATCTTCTTCACTTGGTTCACTTTCCATAATGGTCTCCATTTCAGCATCTGGTTTAAGTTCTGGAATAACTTCAATTTTTTCTGATTCTTGATTTGTTGGCATATCGATTTCTTGTTCTACTGCGTCTTTAATTTCTTCTTCTTTAATTTCTTCTTTTTTGATTTCTTCTTTAATTTCTTCCTCTTTAATTTCATCTTCTTTAACTTCTTCTTTAATTTCTTCTTCCTTTATTTCTTCTTTTTCAAGTTCTTCTTTCATTTCTTCTTTTTTAAATTCTTCTTTCATTTCTTCTTTTTGAAGTTCCTCTTTCAATTCGTCTTTTTCGAGTTCTTCTGTTATTTCTTCTTTTTGAAGTTCTTCTTTTAAATCTTCTTTTTCAAGTTCTTCCTCTTTAATTTGATCATTTTCATTAGATACCATTTCAGACATACTATGCTCATCTTCTGCAATATTTGGAATGTTTTGAGCAATATTTTGTTCCATTTTATTATCTGGTTCCTGTGTTAGTGCAGTTTCTTCCAGTTTAACTTTATCTGTTTCAGCTTCTTCGATTTTATCTTGTTGTTGTACTGGTTCCTCTACAAGTGAAACACTTTCATTTTGCATTTCTTCAGCAGCTTCATTTGTTGGTTCTAGTTTTAAATTGTCATCTAAATTAGTATTCTGCAGAGTTTCAAAAATATTTTCTGTTTGTTGGCTTCCATCTTCAATTTCAGATTTGTTATCTTCAGTATTTATCATTTCTTCTGTTTTCAATATATCTTCTTCTACATTTTCTTTAACAATTTCATCCTCAATTTTATCAACATTTTTTTCACCAGTTAGTTGTTTATCAGCTGTGTTTTCTACATTTACAGTTTCTACTTGCATAGATTCTATTTCTTTTGGTTCATCCATATTCAATTTATTTTCCTCCATTGTTTCAAACTTTTCTTCCGTTTCAGCATTTTCTTGTGTTTCATTTTTTTCTGCAGTTTCATTTGTTTCTACCATTTCTGATTTTTCTTCCGTTTCATCTTTTTCTACTATTTCATTCTTTTCTTCAGTTTCAATTTTTTCCATTGTTTCATTCTTTTCTTCAGTTTCAGTTTTTTCTTCAGTTTCAGTTTTATCAGCTTCTTCAACTTTATTTTCTACTTTTACATTACTGTCAATGTCCATTTCTTTATTTTCTTCAGTTTCTTTATTTTCTTCAGTTTCTTTAGCTACTTCTTCAGTTTCTTTAGCTGCTTCTTCAACTGTTTCTGCAGTTTCAACTGATGGTTCTTCTAATTTTGATTCATTAGACACAGATTCATTTTCTAATTTTTCTTGATTTTCTAATGCTGTATCTATTTCTTTTTCGACATCTTGTATAACTTGTTCAAGTACTTCAAGGTTTTTCTTTTCTTCTTCTTCTACTGTATCAGTGACAGTTTGTCCGTCAGCCTTAGCAATGGTCTCAGCAACTTCAAATTCTTCGTTCTTGACATTTTCTTCCATTTTATCTTCCATTTCATTTTCTGGTAAAGATTGAACTGGTAGATTCAATACTATTTCTTCTGAGAGCACTTCTGGTTTAGCTGCATCGGTTTCAACAACTGCAGATGTATCAAGCACTAATTTATTTTCTTCTTGTTTTTCTGCATTTTCTGTATTATCTAAGTCTAATCCTACTTCTACAGGAATCTGTATTTCTGGCTTAATTTGTTCTTGTGAAGTACTTTCAACTAATTCTGCAGTTTCAAATGTCTCCATAGGCGCACTTAAGTTTTCATTTGCGCTTTCTTGCACAGCAATAATTTCTACCGGTGCACTTTCAATTCCTTCATCCAATATTGTTTCAATATTGGCACTAGTTTCCGGTTCTTTTTCAACAGTTATGCTTTCCATTTTATCTGTATTTGGCATATCTGCAGCTAGTTCGATAGTTTCATTTGGTAATTCATCAAGTTTTTGCACTATCTCTGCAATTTCCTCCATTTTATTATTTTCTAACTCATTTGTATTAGCTTCCTGTATTGACGAGTCTGTCATTACTAACGCAATTGGTTCACCAGATTCTTGTAATTCTTCCATAACAACTGGTTCCATAATACTTTCATTTTCAACATTTGAGAATTCATTTTCCTTTTGAACTTGTTCTTCAGCAATTGCAGCAGCAACATTAACTGGTAATTCCACTATTTGCATAGCTGGTGCATCATTCGTTTCCATCATTAACATATCACCAGCATTTTCGTTTGGATTAAAGAATTCTTCTTCACCGCCCGACACACTTTCAATAATATTTTTTTCAACACTTTCACGTTCACTTGCACTACCGGCCGGCACAAGCATATACGTATTACCAACCGATGGCACTGCTTCTAGTTCCATGTCATCAACTAACACTGCGGTTTTAATAGGATTGTAATCCTCAACATTATCTGCTAGTAATTCATTTCTTTCGATACCTAAACGATCCAATGACATACACGACACATTTTCTATATCGTTGACAATTAGAAATATGCAACTAATAAACGCGATAAACGTCACAACCGAACGCGTTGATAATGATAACGACGATGCGCACGACATTGATCTCCCAAGAGACATCTTAACGAGATCTGACACTAAACACTAATGAGACATGTGCTATAGCTGGACAAGCGCTTTTATACCACATTTGGGAAAGTAATTCCCCATTTCTTGTCGTTTGGCTGTATTGTCGCCAACGTTTTACTATTTTACATTTTTTTCATTTATCTCTTCATTTTGTTGTTGCTATTGTTTATGCTACTGTGTGTGAATGTGTGCGTGCATTTGCTTATTTGTATCTACAATTCAACAATTCAACGGTACGTATAAGTAATCGTGTTATGTATCTAAATGCGGGCGAATATGCGCACACATGAGCCATACTCTGGTCAACTTCCAACACCATACATGTTTGTATGCGTTCGATCTCTTAACCAGTGCTGGCCTAAACTAATAGCTAAACCAAGAGAGCGAATATAATGTCTTTAAAATATATTATATTTACATATTTAAGTTTCAGAAATGAAACGCAATATTATGCTAAACGACTAAATTATTTAAACCGACAACATTATAGCTTTAAACTTGGCTTAAGACGCAGTACTTGCAATAGTCGGTGCAGTTGGGTAAAAGCCTCTCTTATGCTCTGCTACTATAAATGATTTGAGAGCTTTGTCGCTTTCTTTTGATGCATAAATTATTACAGATATGTTGTGTATTAAAATAGGTCCAGCAAAGTAATTGTTTGCATGAAGCTGTGACATGAATGTATAATTCTTTTCATTTCTATATAAATGAGGAAAAAATTTCAAAGCATTCAGTAGCAAATTTGAAAACTATAAAATACAATATATACTCTTAACATAATATTTTGTCCAAAAACTAAAAACTTATTAATTTAATAATACTATCTTATTCAAACTAGATAAACAAATAATATTTATATAATATTGTAAGATCATATTATTATAATAATTTATAAAATAATTTTTATATTTTAAATTTATATATATATTATAATTATAATATTAAAATTAAAATTAATAACATTAACATTAAAAAAAATATTAATTTATTTTATTTTAGTGTATTTAAATAATTTATTGAATAAACAAGAATTATTCGGATTTTAAGTCAAAAAATTCTTTTTTCGGAAACGGTCTCACCAGAAAACGTTCTATTAATCAAGATGTAGAAGATGTAGATGTAGACTTTTTCCAAAATTATCTTTAATTTTTTTTGGCTAAATTCATTTTATTGTGGAATTGTTATCTTTGAAAAACTATCGTAGATGCATTAATATTAAAAAAATATTATATTAATTATATAAACAATAAATAATTAAATAAACAATAAATAAATATTAAATAAACAAAAATTCTTTGGTTGTTTTAAGTCAACAAATTTTTTTTTTCATGAACGCTATTATTAATTAAAATATAGACAACTTTTTCTATAATTATCCTTAATTTTCTGGCTAATATCAACATTACTTTAAAGTAGAATTCTTATATTTGATAAACTGCCGTAGATGTTTTTAAAATATTCGTTTAAAATAAATTTTATACATGAAAATAGACTTCTAAAAGTCCAAATGAATGGTTATTTGACGGTATTATTATAGCATCTATGGTTGATACAACAAAACTTTTAAATCCAAGTCCTTTTAGTTTACTGACTTTCTAAAGATAAGTATGTGTGGTCTAGCGAAGCCATGATAAAACCTAACATCTTTTCCCTTGTACAATTCTGTCTATCTTAACATATATTTTTTTATTCAACCCGAAGAGTACTAGCAGTACAAATTCCAACCAATTATTTGGTTAGTCATAATTGCATGTAATAGGTGATACACGTCCGTACTCAGACGTAGTTGTTTATAATTGATATTTATTTTGGAAGTATCTGGCAGGTTGAAAATCAAATAACGATAGAATAAATCACGTAAATTAATTTATTCGAGTGCACTCATTTTGTTTTATGATGCATTAAATTTTGTTAAAAAATTGTTATTTTTTCAATAACAAAATACGATATTAACTGTTGTGAGTGGTAAAGGAGTTGATCGATCTTAGGTCACCTTCTGGCTATGAGCCTGCGACAGCAATTCATTAGTTTTTTCCTTTCCATTACTGCCGGAAACCTGATGCTCACCGTTTCTTGTATTTTATTTTTCCTTTTAACAAAACTTTAACTGTACAAAAGTAATATATAGATTTATAATGTGATAAGAACAGCTGCTACTATACGTTTCCAAACCGGTTGAACTCTATTATGCTTTAGCTGTTAAAGCTAAAATTAAAATCAAAATTTTGATCACATACTTAGTTCATGAGAAAACCAATTTTTCCTAGTAAAAAAATATATCTTGTATGAAAAAGTAATCATCAAATACAGGTCTATTGAGGATCTCAATATATCTTTTTATAGAAAGGCTGGAATATCATTGGATTGCTTATATTTGAGAAGAATATAGCCCAAGATGAAACGAAGTATACTGAAATTTATTAGTATTTTGGCAGATTTTTGGTGTTGGAATATTGTTTTTTGATATAATCAATTGGTAAAATCTATTTCTTCGCTTTACTTCTTTTACTTCAACAATTTTAGATTTGCATAGAAAGCTAAGTCAGAATTTAATAGAAATTTGCTGTAAAAACTAAGAAGATTTGTTTAACATATTTGACTAAGAGGGTTTTTAATAGTAATTTATAATTTATTTTTTAAGTATAAAAATTAACATTATTCCAAATTTTTGCTATCAATTATACAAAAATGCTAATAGATACAATCTCATACACGTAATTTCAACAATAAATCACCAAACAGCAGAAGCTTGGTACAGATAGTAGTATATTTTATTAAAGTTCTAAAAAATTGTCTAGTTCTTAAAACTGTTAATATTTAATAAAGATATTTAATTGTTTTTTCATTCTTATAATTTACACATTATTTACTTTTCATTTTAATTTTCGCAATTCGATTCAAGTGAATAATATTTTCATTTCAAAAGCAATATTTGCTTTAACATAACTGTCCGATAAGTAAATAATAAACAATCTTAAAAATTTTTCTTCAAGTAGGCAACAGTCGTTCCTGACAGTTATTCTTTATGTATACCCACTTAAGCACATTTCATCCATAAGTCATCCTCTTGAAGACACTACATATGTTAATATAATCGAAGATTTGCTTTTAAGTTCACTTAAATCTTTTAAAGTTGCTGACTAGGTGTTCAAATATTTTCCTTCACTCTAGCTATTATTTATTTGTTCTTTTCTTTTTAAATTAGCTAATCTAGTTTACGCAAATAGGCATTTTATAAAAAAATGCATTAAAATGCCTTTAACTTTATAAGAAAGATTTATTATTTTACTACGACTATGAAAATTTTTATTTACTTTTACACAATATAGTAAATATTCTATCAAAGTCATCGATAAGTTTTATGTAAACAGAAATAGTATGTGATGATTACTTGGTCTACATTCTTCTAAGGCATGATTTGTTTATTGCAAAGGAATATTTTTAGTTCTTAAATATTTTTTTATATTTGTAATTATTATTTATATAATGTGGCTTTGTTAATCAGTTGGTTTAAGATTGGCAGGTGATTGGCATACAGCATCCGATTCTGGTGTAAGGGCTGCCAACTATTGCCTCCAGACCGACAGAAATTATTGTGACAGTACTCCTTTTGAAGGTATACGAGCGCCGCCGTTGACCAGTTACGGTTCCTCTGCCGCCATCTCTTTTACAGACTCCTGCCTAAGCTTGCAACTCTATCCGCAACCTACAACCTCAAAATATGCAGTGGGTAGCGTGCGGGAAGGAGTTTTTCTTCCTATGCTCCTCCTAGGAGTTAAAGGATTTAATATATATATATACCTATATTTATATAATATTATATGTGCTTTAATATCTTTAAAACAGAAAGATTAAGTATTGTATTTTTAAAAATATTTTAAAACAATTATTGAATTATTTTAAAATTATGCTTTTAATTAATTCGATAAAAATTACTTCTATCAATTTTTAATTTGTTTAAATTCTTTCACCATTAATAAAACAAATAACACATAGTTTACATGCCGACTTCCTTTAACACCGATATATATGACTGTTGTTTAGCTTCACTACGTTGGTGTAATCAGACTCCTCTTAATATTTAAATCTGCAGATATACACCTACTAAGAGCAATGACAGAAAAATTCAGCTTTTTTGGATATAATCCAAACGGTGCTATTTCTAAACAAGCCCCATTTATGTTATATACGTAAAATGTGTGAAATCCAAGAGCCAATAATGGGGCCAGCATTTAAGCCAATCCTACAGTAATCACTTAATCAAGATTGTCCCAGGCGAGATATCAACAAGAGACGTCTAGGAAGCAAAAAGCGTTTTATTGTCCTCAACAGAATATTATTCTTAACGATATATTTTAAATTTTAGATTATAAATTGATTTTAAGTACCTTACATGTGTACAAAGAAAAACTCTCAATATGAAATAAAAGTTTCATATTTAAGATAATATTAATAATCATTAACAAATAAAATATTTACAGCAAATAATTCCACATAAGAAAGAAATCTTAATAGTTTTGACACGCTCTCCTCTTTTGCTCTTCTTCTTATGTATTATTATTAAAAAAATAATTTTTATCTTTTTCGTTTTTCTGTCTACCTATGTCCCTCTGATTGATGGGAAACAGTGATATCAGTTATAAACAACACTTCCATCTTATAATTACTTCATCGCGGTTGGAGTTCCGATGAGGAATAAGAATCTGTATTTCACCTTCTTTGTCAATGCCCATTCTAGAAGATTATACCTATAGAAGATTAAAAATCTTTGGGGCTTCTTTTTTTTACCGTCAACCTATAAAATTAGCTGTCAACCTATAAAATTAGAGACTTTTTTTCAAGACTAGATTTCACTTCAATAGGGGAGAGTTGTGCTTTTCAACGTGGTTCTTTTGTGAATCTTCTGGCTTCATAACAGGCTATTACTTGAGTTTAATTGGACTATGGTATAAGGCCGCCATTACAACCTAACCTAAATCTTTCTTCGTTGCTTGAACACCGCAGTCCTTTCTGGTCTAC